GTCGGGAATCCAACAGGAGTTATTGAGTATATGCAGGTGAGTGAGGAAACACAAAGCTCCCTTTCTGGAAACTTCAGCTAGGTGTCCCCCTACCTCATTTTCACACTATGAGTCTGTCCTAAGAGGGAACCCCCACCCCTAAGGAACGTACTGCTTGCAGAGAACTGTACCACTCAGTCTTGGGATTTGATTTTGCCAGGTACTGGAAGAGGAAACTTCTGAAACTGGAGTAAAGAGGAAGAGAAGAAAGAGAGTAGTAGTGGGGGGAATGTGGAGAGCCAGGGACCAGTTTCCCAGTGAAGTTCTCATGCCCCTGGGTGCTGGACCTATAGGAGATCAAGGTCAGGGTTCAAAGCGAGGTCAAGGTCCTGGACAAGGCTGGGTTCCACCTCCAGTGGCTGCTCAGAAGGAGGGAGGCTGAAAGGAGAAATCCCAGGGAGGAGCCAGAACCAGGGAAGGTAGCTGGAGAGGGTGCGGCTAGCATGGAGGGACAGGCCTGGGCAGAGAGGTGGCAGGTGGGGTGGGGAGGAGGGGGAAGACTTGAGTCCAGACAGCTTGCCTGGGGGTGGGGCAGTCAGCACTCAGTGGTCCTTCAAGGGAGAGGAAGAACTCTGGAGTCTGGAAAACTTCCTGGAATGGGACAGTAGTTGAAAGATGAGAGTGCCATCTCTCATTTTCCTGATCTGCTGTCTCTTTTTAGTTAGGACCATCTAATGGAGAGGGATTAGGGATTAGAAACTTAAATTTGATGCCAAAGTCATCCTCACCTTGAATCTGGGCTTCTCTTCTGATCCTCCTGCTCACATCCAGTAAAAGAGGGTGAGCTGAGCCTGGTGGCACTCACCCAGACTCCAGCACTCAGGAGGCTGAGGCAGGAGGATTGCTTTGAGTTCAAGGCTAGTCTAAACTGCATAGTATAGCGAGATCCTGTCTCAAACAAACCAAAAAAGGTGAGGGGATGGTTGTAGAAGTCTCATGGAATTTCTTCCAAGATCTTGGATCTTGGCTTTTAATGCAGTCTCTGGCACCTTGGGGATGTCCTACTTGAGAAGGGAGGTCTTGCCCCACCTCTTGGGGCTCTCCAGGGGCCTCAGGAGTTGAGGCAGGCATCTCAGAACCTCATAGGGGAGGAGGGGAGCGGTGAGGGGAGCATGTGCTGCCAAGGCAAGCATGGGCCTGTGCGCATGGAAGACGGGTGTGTGCATGTGTGCGCCTGTGTGCACGCCATACATGCATGTGCATGAAACCCCTAGTGTTGTGTATCTCTGTGAACTCTGCTATGTTGTACATTTGCTTTATCAAAACTATAAGGAACAGACTTGCCTTCTTTTTCTCTTTTGTTCTCTTTTAATTACAATAAGTTTATTGGTACCTTTTAAATCTATAGAAGGATCACATTCAGCACAGGGAATTTGTACCTGAACATAATATATCTTGCTGCTTTCTTTTTTCCTCCATTCTTTTCCTCTCCCTTCAACTCTGATTCCCTTCTTTATTTACAAGTTTTGCTTCTACTTTTTCTTCTTTTCTTGTTTTTGTCCTTTTCCCTTCCTTCCTTTCCCCTCCCTATGCTCTTCCTTTCTTTGAGAGATAGCTGCAGTCCTTAGTACCTGGCTCAGTTTGTGCTCTGGCCTTGGTGACAACTTCCATGGTCATGGGGCTAGTGTACTTGGAGTAGGGAGCCTGGACTTCACGACACTAAGCCCATGGGAAACCGAGGGCAGGCTGGCAGCCCGAGAATAGGAGTCATACTTAAATGAAACTGAAAAAGAGAGACTCAGACTTAAAGAGATGAGGGTTGAAAGGTCCAGACTCAGAGAGAGCCCAGATACTGGGAGAAAGACACACGGAGAGCAGACTGTGGGTAAGGGTGGCCAACAGGCAGCGGCGAGGCCTCCTCTAGGAAAAACCCCAGTGACTGCCTCCTTCCCCTCCCTTCAGTCTTTCCTCCTCCAGCTCGGACTGAAGCTTGAGCTCCAGCTCCAGGCCGACACAAATGGGGCTTTGATTGCAACAGGAAACCTCTCTGGCAGGGCGGGGGGTGCGGGCGGGCAAGCACTGCTGCTGGGGCCCAGGCTGCAACCCCCTCTTCTGGCCCCCTACCCAGTCCCAGCCCCCATCTTGCCCAGCGCTCTCATATCCTCTCTTTGGGCCCCATCCCTTATTCGCACCTCCATATTCCCCCCTCCTCTGTGCCCCCCTCAAAGACCCCTCCCATTGCCCTTCAGGTGGGACTCAGTTAGGACTTAACCCCAATGGGTGGGGCCTGTTTCACTTTGAAATACCCCTTCAGTTTTTTGAGGCCAAGTTTTGGAAGCAAAGGAGAATTTAGCATGAGGAATTCTGAGCCAGTTATCCTCAGCCCTCATCCAGAAGGTGGCAGGAGGAGGGAGAAGAGGAGGAACTTATAAGGAATTAGCTGTCCTGGCTACCCCTAATCTTGGCCAGAATACATCCTTGCCAGGGTGGTAGGGCTCTGAGGGGTGATTCTGCTGGAGCCTTTACAGCTGTCTTGTTAATGGCGGCAGGGTATACTCCTTAAGCCTTTGGGGGTGTTCCTTTGTGGGGCTGTAACTGGGAGGGGTGTGCCCTGGTGGTGGGGATCCTAGGGAAGGGGGTGAGTCAGGCAGCAGCCCCCCCACTCCCACCAGGCTGGCGGAGAACATCTGGTTCCCATGAAATGCTAGAAGGCTAATGGGTCTAATTGCTGCAATAAGGACTAGGGGGATTTCGGGGAAAAGAGGGGGCACGAGATCCCCCCATCTTCTACCCAAGGCTGTACTAAGTCTGTCTAGAATGGGGGGTTGTGGTTGATGGGAAGGTTGGGCCTGAAACCTTCATGCCTGGCCCTAAGGCCCCCTCTTCCTGCAGTGGTTGAGAAGCACACACAGATGGAGTGATGAAGAGTGGGGTGCATCTGGTACAGAGAAAGGGGGGCTATTGAAGACTCACAGCTTCCTGGAGCCCTCCCCCCATTCCTTCTATGCCCGCCTCCCAACCCTCCTCCCTGTGGCCTGGCCACTTCTGGTTCTAATTACCAACCAGGCAGGCCTGACTTAATTGGGACCTTTCAGATTTTGAGGAGGAAGGGGGGAATGACAGCCTGAAGTTGACTAATCAGGGTTCTTTCCCTCTTTTGGGGGCATACTCCCCATTTTGTATCTTTTTTGGGTCACTGGCCAGGTTTTAACTCAGAAACCTATCTTCTTGATTTTCTTTCTATATTTTGGAGGAGGAGTAGCAGTTTTCACAAATGGGGTATTGAGATTGGAGCGTGAGGGGTAGGTAGCTCACACTGGGCTGGAGGAGCCCTGCATTCTCTCTCTTCCTAGTCAGTGCTGCCACTCCAGCCCCTCACCCTGCAATTGAGGCCCTACTTCCCAGCCCCCCCCCCCCCCCACCCCCCCTCCGTCCCTGGCAGCCACCCGGGCTCCTCCTCTACTCTCGCCCTCCCTGGCTACTCTGGCACCCCTTTCAGCTCCTTACTCTTCCAGCAGGCGCCCCACTCTCCTGCAGCACCCTAGTGCACCCCCCACCCGGTACAACAGATTCTTAGAAAAGTGCGCCCCACCCTGGCCCAACCACAGCCGCCAGGCGGGGGAAGGGGTCGGGCCGGGCGCCGCGGCTGCTCCCCCGACGCTCCCCGTGTGAGCAGCGCTGACAGAGCCGGCTGGGCCGGGCTGCCGGGTGGCCGGCGGGCGGGGCGCGGGGGAGGGGGCGGTTTCCGGGAGTCGCCGCCGCTGGCGCTGTCCCGGGGCCAGGGTCCCGGGTTCGGCCCGGCCTGGCAAAGGCAAACTTGTGACGTGGCCAAGCCCCTCCTTAGCTCCCTTAGCGGGCGAGAGAGCCCACTGTGCTGAAAGGCGCCACCGAAGGAACAGCGAGGCGGCCCAGAGGGGCACACAGTGTGGCACTAGAGGAGGGGAAGGGGACAGTTACTGCCTGCGGTGGGGGTATAAACGACCCTAGGAACAGTTAAGGAATAGCAGCACTTGACATGGCAGAAACTGCGGGGAAGGGAGTTGGCATCGGGGCAGTTTCGTTGGAGGAGCAATACGCACTGCAAACACCGTTTGTGCTTTAAAAATGAGGTTAGGCTTGAAAAGACAGCAACGAGAGCGGCAGTCGAGGCGCTCGGGGAGTGTCAGTCGCGGGATGGGGCTTCAGGGACTTGGAGGGAGGCAGCCCGGGACGCGGCGGAGGGCGGACAGCTCAGGCTAGCAGGGGTAGAGTCTCCACCGCGCTGGAGGGGGCGGGGGACTCCGCTGCGGCGCTGGCGACGGCCTGGGCGGGGTGGGGCGGGGCCGGGTCAGGAGGAGGTGAGCGCGCCCGGCCACCCGCCCCGAGGGGGGTTCCCGGAGAGTTCAAGCCGGGAGCGCGCTCCGGCCCTTGGACCGGGGGTGGAGAAAACGGGAAGGAAGGAGGAGGCAGCGCGGGCCGAGCCACAGGAATGTTCTGTTCGGCCCTGAAGCGCGCGCGCGGAGGGAGAGGGAGGAGCCAGGCCTGGGAATGAGGGGGGTGGAGGTAGTGCCTCCTCAGAGCCGCTGCTTCGTCGAAGGGACCTCCACGTTCCTGACTGTCCTCAGTCCTCTTTAACAACCCTGCTGGTGTTGTCTTGTGTGAAAAAGGAAGGGTCGAGGGGAGGAGGAAAACTCTGCGAAAGGAAATGCGTGTACTTGGTTCCTCCACTCCTTCCTCTAACCCTGGACCTGGGCACGCGCCTAAGTGCAAGTGCGTGCAAAGCCTCGGTGCTGTGGAGAGAGAATGCTTGCAGGCATTTTCCCGAGCCAGGTGTGTTTGCACGTACATGTGTGCACCATGAATTTATGTGCGTGGAGACATGCATGTGCACTATTGCATATTTACAAATGCGTGTTGCCAGGATAAATGCATGCATGGATATATAAGCAAGGGAGCGCGCCTCGCACGAGCGTATGTATGTTTTTGTGTGTGCGAGGCGCTCCCAGCTCTGCTCCTCTCGGTGCCCGGCCCCCTTCGCTCTCCAAGCCCCACCCCCCACCCCTCCAGGCTTCGCTTTTACAAAAGGTCTCCCCGGTGTTAGCTGCCGAGGCGCCCAGTGTTAGCCGGACCGAAGCCGTAGCGGCACCCCCGGCTTAGCGCCCCGCCCAGTCCCTTTCCCTTGCTGGGGATCCCCTTCTTCCCCGCCCACCCCTTACCCTCCATGCAGTCCAGCGCCCTATGCTAACGCTCCCCCTCCCCCCTCCAGGAGCGGGGCGCCGCCAGGGGAGGAGGGGGAATCGGCAGTGGGTCCTTGGTGTTCTAGCACCCAGCTCCCCTCCAAGTGGGTCGCTATGTACGACTGCATGGAATCGTTTGCCCCGGGTCCGCGACGGCTGTATGGAGCGGCCGGGCCCGGGGCCGGCTTACTGCGCAAAGCCACCGGCAGCTCCTGTTTCGCAGGACTTGAGTCTTTTGCTTGGCCGCAACCCGCCAGTCTGCAATGTAGGTACTCGAGCTCGGGGTAGGGTGGTGAGGTGCAGGAGAGGCTGGATTTATTTTTTCCGTGTGTACAGAGTAAGCGAAGATTCTAGCCTTTTCTGTGTGAGGTGCTGGCCCTTTAAATGTGGGGGCTTTAGCGTCTCCTTTGCGTGTGTGAGATAGTGTTTGGAGCGTGTGTGGTTTTTTTGGTGGGTGTTTAGCTAGGACCTGTGGTTGGTGCCATGCCAGAGCTGTGGGGACTGGGAAAGACCGAAGTGCGTGGGTAGTTGGTGCCCTCGGGTGCCTGGCCTTGGAGGGATATGGCACCCAGAACTGTGGGTGGCGTTTGTGAAGTCCATGTGGGAAGTTGCGAATGTAAAAAACATTATTTGCAGAGCATGTGGATCTCTGGAGTGTGCAGCGTCCTACCTAGGTCATGTGTGTGGGGGGTAGAGGTCTGATGACTCGGTGTATCCCTGCGGCTGCGTGGGCGGTCCCGCGTGGGCCTGAATGGGGATGTTTGTGGCGTGAGGCCAGGAGGGCGTGTGCCCCTGCGTGGCTGCGGGGGAGGCTCTGGCAAGCGCTGCGTCCCGGAGTGCATCCTGTGTGCTCTGCGTGTGGGGGCAAGGGCTTGTGTGCGTGAGAGGAGTTCGGCTCTGCCCCCTCCCACAGGAGAAAGAGAAATGTTTGGAAACCTGTAGTAGTCAGGTTGCAGCCCAGAGATGACTTTTACCCCCCCCCCCATGGCTCCAACACACAAGTTTAGCAGGAGACAAAAAGTTTAAAGCAAAGTCTGTATGTGGTGGTGGTGAGGTGGCCTGGAGGTGACAGTGGTATGGGGTCCCCAAATCTCCATCTTCCCTCTCTGTGAAATGGGAGATGCCAGGCCTGGGGCCCTGGAACCTCTTTGCAGAGCGGTAATAAAAAGCTGGGGACTGAAAGGCTGTAAAAATGAAGTCCAGATGAGAGGCGGCTTTGAAGCCTGGGCCGAAGTGCTCGCTGGGGGGGTGGCATGGGGAGGAGCCTGGAGGGGGATCCTGGAACAACCCCCAATTTTACCCGAGACTGGGATTGCGCTCCCAGCCCGAGTGTGGATGCGGGGACCCCGGGGCTCAGGGGCAGGCCGGGAGGGGGCGGGCAGCGGGTGGGGCGGCAGGCGCTGGGGGAGTGCGCACGCCGGGTCACAGAGCCCCCGCCGACGCGCCTCGCTCCTTGGCACTCCGCAGCGCTGTTTACAAGTTTTTTTTTTTTTTTTTTTTTTTTTCGGGTCTTTCGGTTTTAGGGCAGAGCCGCTCAAATTTAACAAGTCGGAGACTGGAAGAGGGAGGTGGCAAACAGACCATACTTTGGGATGGGGTGGGGCAAGAAGTAAAATGTTGCCATTTCGAGGGTGGAGAAAGCATGGGACAGTTGCTTTGCACCAAATCCCTGTAGGATGGGGAACTGATTTAGTTTAATTTTCTTTTTTCTTCTTCTTTTTTTTTTTGGCGGGGGGTGTTCGAAATTGGAGAGAATTTTCCAAGAGGGAGTTGCTTAGGGGGCTGGTCGGGAGCCATGTCCTTATTCAGGCCCTTGGGCTTGACCGGCAGGATATTTTTTCGCACTTCAATTTGGACCAATAATTCTGGCTTCTAGAACCCTGTTGGGAGCACAGAGCCACCTTCAGGCCCCTCTCCACAAACTTTCCAAGAGAAAGTGGTTTAGAGAGGAGGAACGGTGGTGTGTTTGTGCGTGCTTGGAGGCTTTGGTGTCCTGGTGCATTGCTGGCAGGCTGCGGTGTTTTGTCGGGTGCTTGAGTTGTTCACTTGTAAACGGGTAGCTAGCTGAGTACTGAGTGTTGTGTGTCAGCTTTGTGACTTGTCCTCCAGATCCAGTGTGGCCGGAGTGAGGGTGCCTGATGCCTGCCTAGGAGTCTCTCTATGTCAGGACAGGTTTGGGGTTAGCAGAGTGCTGCCGTGCCCCCGTACTGGGACACTCAAAAGTGGGAGTGTGTGTCTCCTAGGCGATGTGTGCTAGATTGAGTCTGAGTCCAGGCTGCTCAGGTCTGGGCCGCGCAGCTGGGAGCGTTTACAGCGGGTTATAAAGAGTTTGTTTGAAGCTCCGCTTGGCCTGGCCAGGAATTTCCTCAATTTCAGCAATTTGGGCTTTAAAAAGAGAAAACCCCCAGAGCCCACCCTCCTCCCTAGCGGAGGCCCCTGCCTAACCCAGGAGCAGCATCCCGATGATGGGGTCTCTGCCCAGGGGTGAAGAGGGTCCTGGGTGCAGGATCCAAGAAGACCCCGCTAGCTTTACAGCGCCTTCCACCGGAAGTCACTGGGCCACACTTTAGGGTTCAGGCTGCAGGGGAGTGTTGAGAATGGGTGGCAGTACCACTTTAGATGGGAAAAGCTGCCCCCAGGCCTGTCTCATCGGGGCCCCTAGTCTTATAATTGGCTGGCTCTGCCCCATGCCAGTCTGACCGCACCCAAGGTCCTTGCGCAAGAGAGGAAATGAAGCAGCGCTCTGCGGGCAGGGAGGGCGTCAGCGCGGCAGAGAGCGCCACCCCACACATAGGTCTGTGGGCAGGACCCCTAGAGGACACCAATGGGGGCCTGAGAATCCAGGAGAGGTCCTGAAAGGCATTCCAGCCCTCCCCACATCTCTCACCACCAGCCCTGCTGGAATCCCCCACCGCCTGTCCTGAATAGACTCCCGACACCCTTTTCCTCAGTCCTCCTTTCAAGAGGAATCTTTCTCCACAAGGATTCTTATGCTAATTGAGCAAGTGTGTGCGGGGCACTTGGGAGGACTTCCCTCCTGTGGGGTGGGTGGAGCTGTCTTAGAACCCCCAACTCTGGGAAGCCCTTCCTGGGTTTGTGACCAGGTGGGCTGGTGGGCTGCAGAGGATTAGAAGGGAGGAGGTGTCTGTGTGGTATGCTTGTGGGACACCCTTAGGAAGGGTTGTAGAGTCTTTTTCAAATAACGTGGGCTTTCTAGGTTTGGGCAGTAGATCCTACAGTTTAAATAATGTATGTAAATAATGTATGCAATGTAAACAATATATGAAACCTCTGAAGATCAGTCCCACACTCACACAAGATTGACTTAACGCCCTGATGTACCTAGCATGGGTCCTCTGTGGCCTCCAACCCCCACCCCACCCCTAAAGCCTACCTGAGGTGCCTGTGAACTGCAGTCAGGTACTTTTCAGAGGCAGTTCAAAAGTGCAGACGGCCTCAGAGGGGGTCCAGAGCTAGGTCCCCTCCCCCATTGTCACCTGATGTTCCAGTTTGCCACCTTCAACAGCTTCTAGACCTAAGAATCTGAGCAACCACCTCCGTCTCCCTCTTCCTCAATCCTCTCTCACAGCCACTGAGATCAGGTCACAGGACCTGAGAGCCTTGGCTCCACCATCAGCTGGTAGTGTGTCACTGAGCCTGGCATGCCCCTCACTTGGCCTCAGTTCCTTCAGGTGTGAAGTGGGGTTGGTGCCTGTCCTCTGACTTCCTCTCTGATACCTGTGCTCCATATTCTACCACCTCCGTAGCTTCCAAAGAAAAGGATTTGGGGATAAGCACTTGCCTGGCAAGCGCAAAGTCCTGCGTTCAATCTCCGGTACTGCAAAAACAAAACGAAACAAAACAAAACAAAAGGATTTGGGTGGTTATTTTGGGGGGATGATTTTTTTTTGGGGGGGGAATGATTTAAAGAAGGAAAAGAAGGACAATTATTTCTTCTGTACCACTTCAGAGAAATGAGGTCCTGTTCTGCCTAGTGTCTGTCCCAGTATTTCATTCAACCAGGTGCCAGCTGCAGGTGGCCTGCAATTGCTCTAACCACCCCACATCTGTTTGGCCCCTCCCAAGGAGGAGGGTGGTGGGCAGCAGACTGACAGGTATCTATCTGCCAGGGCCACAGGGAATAAAGATTCAAAGGTGCAGAACCCTAACCCTTCTACCACATTCACTTTATAGTTAGGGAAATTGAGGCTCCCAGGAGTTGACTTGCAGAATATCCTTGGGTCTGGAATTTGGAGATGTGAACTGTGTGGTACAGAGGTAGGGGTGGAATTGTGGGAAGTTGGTCAGACTATGGGAGGGGCTAGGGTCCCAAGGAGCTGCAGTGACAGTGGCTGCCTGGGACTTTCTGGGTTTGTCCACTAAGGGCGGGTGCACTGTGGAGGCTTTCACCAGTGGGCCACAGGGAGCAATGGGGGCATGTGCAAGGGGTTTATGAGGGGCTTTCCCCACCCTCACCCCACTGCTTCCCCTGCAGCTGTGGAGACACAGAGCACAAGTTCAGAGGAGATGGTTCCCAGCTCACCCTCGCCCCCACCGCCTCCTCGGGTCTACAAGCCGTGCTTCGTGTGCAATGACAAGTCCTCTGGTTACCACTATGGGGTCAGCTCATGTGAAGGCTGCAAGGTGTGTAATGGTGGGGTGGGTGGATTGGGGACCTGGGCTTAACTGGGGAAGATCAGAGATCAGCAATACAGGTGCTATGTGTGAGTGGGGGTAGGTGGAGCTGTAGGGGGTCCCTGGCACATAGTGATTAATAGACAGGGCCAGGCCTGAGGCCACCTGTATGGCTTATGAGAGAGAGGTTACTACTGTCAGCATCCTGCTGCGTGACACTCCACCTACCCCGAAACTCTAGGGCTTCTTCCGACGCAGCATCCAGAAGAATATGGTATACACGTGTCATCGGGACAAAAACTGTATCATCAACAAGGTGACCAGGAATCGCTGCCAGTACTGCCGGTTACAAAAGTGCTTTGAAGTAGGCATGTCCAAGGAAGGTAGGCCCCTATAGCTGGTCTGGGCAGAAGCACTCCTGTCCAATCCTGTGGTTCCCTGGCTTCCCTCTGGGCACCCCTAGTTCTCTGACTCTGTGAGACCCAGCCTGCCCTGGGGTGCTGTCTCCTCCCAGACCAATCCTATTTGATTAGCTCCATTCAACCAGGAGGCCCCACCCTTTCCCCTTCTCTCACTCCTGAACTCTTCTGAAGGAGTAAGTGGATGTTAAGGTTTCAATTCAAATTCCCTTGTTTCTTGGGGGGCAGGACTGTGGGCTTGCCAGTTCCCTCCCCTCCCCTGTTCCCAGGGCAGCCTGAGATGGATCTGGGGTGGCCCCTCCTTTCCATCCCCCCCATTGTGCTGCCAAGGCTATAAGTGGATATCCTGCCCCTGCATATCCTGCCCCCCTCTCCCTAGCTCCTGCAGGGTGACAGGAAGGGCAGGATGGAGCCGAATGGCCTGGGGGGGGAGCAGGGGTTGCAAGCCCTGGGTGGGGTTGGAGAGAGGCAGCCTGGGAATAGGAGTTAATGTAGGAGATAGAGGAACTGAGGCACTGTCCCTTGAGGGCTGGTGCACTGGTGTCAGGGAATAGATGGTCATGGCAGACTGGGCACTTTAAGCTAGGGTGAGGGAGGATGTTGAAAGGGAGGCTCTGAGGGTCTTGACCTTCCTCCTTGTGCCTCCCCCTTCCAAGCTGTGCGGAATGATAGGAACAAGAAGAAGAAAGAGGTAAAGGAGGAAGGGTCACCTGACAGCTATGAGCTGAGCCCACAGTTAGAAGAGCTCATCACCAAGGTCAGCAGAGCCCATCAGGAGACCTTCCCCTCGCTCTGCCAGCTGGGCAAGTACACCACGGTGAGGAATGAGCAGAGCCCCACTGAGGGCAGAGTGGGTTGGAGGCTGTGGTCTGGTGCTGAGGACTAGGAAGGCATAGGCATGGAGAGGAGAGCCTTGGGTACTGGCAAAGAGGGTAGGGAGCTCCAGGGTAGCCTTCCTTTGTAGTCTAACCTCAGCCTCTTCTCCTTTTCTGCAGAACTCTAGTGCAGACCACAGGGTGCAGCTGGATCTGGGGCTGTGGGACAAATTCAGTGAGCTGGCCACCAAGTGCATCATCAAGATCGTGGAGTTTGCGAAGCGGTTGCCTGGCTTTACAGGGCTCAGCATTGCTGACCAGATCACTCTGCTCAAGGCTGCCTGCCTGGACATCCTGGTAAGTTAGGCCCTCTGTCTGGGTCAGGCCATAGCCTGGCCTTCATCGGGGACTCCTTCCCACAAGCCCTTCAGCTATGAGACTCCTCACATCTCTACCCAAGCTTTTTTGTCTCAGCCCTTGCCCCCAGATCCTGATCCTAGACTTTGTACATGTGTATTGGGGGAGGGGTATTTGTGATTGAATTTTGGAGCTTTGCACTTTTTTATTTTTTATTGATTTTTTTTATTTTTTATTTATTTTTTATATTTATTTATTTATTTATTTATTTATTTTGTATTTAGTACAGGGTCTACAGGGTCTTACTACATGGATCGTAGATCAGACTCTTAGTGATTCTCCTGTTTCCAGCCTCACAAGTGCTAGGATTACAGGTGTGTGCCAACACTTGCCGGGGCAGGACCAGCACAGCACACTGATTGCTGATCAGATCAGTCGATCAAACCCTGGCCCACTACGCTCTGCTTAAGTAGGCACTTTAGTCCTCTGAGCTATCAGGCCAGCCCTTATTTTTTGTCTTTTTGAGACAGGGTCTCACTATGTGCCTGCCTTGGGCTCACTTTGTAGCCCAGGGCTGGTCTCGAGCTAGCAAAGATCCTCCTGCGTCAGTCTCCCCAGAGTATGGGATACTGTACCTGTTTTGTTTGTGTGGTTTTTTTTGTTTGTTTGTTTGTTTTTTTTTCCTGGAACTAGGGATTGAACTCAGGCCCTTGCACTTGCCAGGCAAGCACTTATTCTGCTTATTCCCTGGCCCCAACACTTGTTTTTGTTTTTTTTTTTTAAGGCAGGCTCTTGATGAGTGGCTAAATTGCCCAGGCTGGGCTTGAAATTTTGAGCCTCTTGTCTCAGCCTCTAGAGTCCTGAGATAACATGTGTGCAGCATCACAGCTGACCAGATCCTAGACTTTTGGACCCCTTGATTTATCCTGCTTTCACCCCCCCCCCCATCTTTTGCCTCTCTGTCTTCCTCCCCGTGCCTACTTCAGGTTGCACTTATTGGGACTTAATTCCTCATTCGCCTTTGATTTTGTCTTTTTTCCCCTCTCCTTATGAGTTCTTCCCCAGAGATGGCATCAACCCTCCTTCTCCCCCACCTCCAGATGCTGCGGATCTGCACAAGGTACACCCCGGAGCAGGACACAATGACCTTCTCCGATGGGCTCACCCTGAACCGGACTCAGATGCACAATGCTGGCTTTGGGCCCCTCACAGACCTCGTCTTTGCCTTTGCTGGGCAGCTCCTGCCACTGGAGATGGATGACACAGAGACAGGGCTGCTCAGTGCCATCTGCCTCATCTGTGGAGGTGCGAGGGCGCCCCCTGGCGTCTGCTTGGGCTCCTTTCCCACCATACTCCACACCTGATCTCTGACCAGGTGGGGGACCTTGGTCTCTTCTCCTGGGATTATTGCACCTCACCTCAGCCACAGACTTCTCAGATCCTAAGGAAAGCCAGGCGAGGTGGTATACACCTGTAAGCCCAGCACTCAGGGGACTGAGGCAGGAGGATCAATGTAAGTTTGAGACCAGCCTGGGCTACATAGTGAGTTCAAGGCCAGCCTGAACTACGAAGTGGGACCCTGTCTCAATAAGAACTGAAAAGGTCATACAGGCTTCCCAACAACCTAGAATATAGGACTGAAAAAGGGGAGCAGGGCCAGGGGAGTTGAGGAGATGCTAGGTACTGGTGCTGGAATAGGAGTGGTTTAACAGAAAAAACCCTTGCTGAATGGGATAAGGGAAGGGCTTAGAGTAGAGGATGGGGCTCAGGGACAACAGAGAAGAGACTGCTGGGAGAAGAAATGTGGGATCTGGCGGCTCATAGGACAGGGACCATTGGTGATCAGCCACATGTCACTGTGTCCTGCCCGTCTCACACTACTGTGCTTGTGCCCATAGACCGCATGGACCTAGAGGAACCTGAAAAAGTAGACAAGCTGCAGGAGCCACTGCTGGAAGCCCTGAGGCTATATGCCCGGCGCCGGCGGCCCAGCCAGCCCTACATGTTCCCAAGGATGCTCATGAAGATCACTGACCTCCGTGGCATCAGCACCAAGGGTTAGTCATGAGTGAGCCTTTGCTCTGTCTTCCCAGGGCTGCAGGGCTCCCAGGCCACACAGGTGGACAAGCAGAGACAGGGACAGTGTGACTGAAAACCAGCTGACATATGCTGGCCTTATCCAATGGGGAAACATTGTCAGATTCCTTTATTTTTTTAAAACATTGCTGGGGATTGAACCCGGGACTCCATATGTGCTAAGCACCTCCTTTACTGTTTTTTTTTTTTTTTTTCCGGGAACTGGGGATTGAACTCACTCCCTTGCGTTTGCCAGGGAAGCGGTTATTCCACTGAGTCATCTCCCCGGCCCCCTTTACTGTTTTTATACTTCATTTTCCTGTTTTTCAACCAGGTTTTATTTATTCCTACCTCCTACACCAATGGTGAGAATTGAATGAATCCACACACAGTGTGCTTAGAAAGGTGAATTAGGCAGATGTGGAGGTACGTGCCTATAATCCCAGCATTCTGGGAACCTTGAGGATCCGTTTCAAGCCCAGCCTGGGGAATTCAGTAAGACATCTCAAGAAAAAATGAAAAACAACAGCAACCAAAAAAGGAGCAGGAGTGGTAGTGCATTCCTAGTATAATCCTAGTGCTCTGAAAGGTTGATGTAGATTTGAAAGTTCAAGCTCAGCCTTATCAATTTATAGACTTAGTGACACCCCTGCCTCAAAAAATAAAAAGGGCTAGAACTGAAGCTCAGTGGCAGAGTACTAGCCTAGCCTGTGTAAAGCCCTGAGTTCAAGACCACAGGGGGAAAGAAAGTGAATGAAAAATTCAACCATAGCAAGGCATTATGGCACATGCCTGTAATCACAGCAGTCAGGAGGCTGAGGCAGGAGAATCACTCATGAGAGTTAGAGGCCAATCTGGGCTACATAGTGAGTTCAAGGACACCTGAACTACATAGTGAGATCTTGTTTGAAACAAAGAGGCCTGGGGATGTAGCTCAGTGTGAAAGCTGGGTTAAAAAAAAGTTCAGGAGCTAGTTGGTTTTAAGGGCCACGTGCTTCTGCCCCTTTGAGACTCTGCTTCTCTGTTGTAGGTGCAGAAAGGGCCATTACCCTGAAGATGGAGATTCCAGGTCCTATGCCCCCACTGATCCGAGAAATGCTGGAGAACCCTGAAATGTTTGAGGACGACTCCTCACAGCCTGGTTCCAACCCCAAGGCCTCCAGCGAGGATGAGGCCCCCAGAGGCCAGAGCAAAGGGAGCCGGAGTCCCCAACCTGACTAGGGCCTCTGACCTCCTCTACTGTGGGGTTGGGCTCCAGGTAGCAGACTGACCATCTCCCAGACACCACCAGTGACTGGGGGAGGACCTGCTCTGCCCTCTCCCCACCTTTCCAAGGAGCTCCTTGTTTTGCCAAAGTTTCCAGGGGTGCCTCTGTATTCATCCCTTCCTGCCCTGATGGCTCCCTCTCCAGTCCTGGGAGCCTGTCCTGCTCTCAGCAGGAGGAAGAGCAGAGGGGTGAGCCTGGGTCTGGACTGTACAATCACAGCACTGCCCCACAGATATCAGGGACTCAGGCTCCCCAGGTTAGGAGGGAGCCCTGTCATCCCCTAGCCCCTTCCTGTGCTGGGTGCTTGGTCCTCTTTGAGCAAACAGGAACACTAGAGAGCACAAGGGGGGCCCAAGTGGGCTAAGCTCACCCTCTTGCCCCCACCCTTGGTGCCTAATGCTGTGTGATGCACGTTGCCCAAATACCCGGGCCTCATGCCAGGTCAGGGGTGGGGTGGGCTGGGCCCTATATTTCTGGAGCGACACTTGAGGATGAAAGGGACAGATGCAGGCCTGTTCTGCACCTCTTTGCTGGGGTGCAGCGTTTACTCGTGGCCTCCTCCGTTACAAGCCCCTCCCCCAGCCTTGTCAAGTGCCTTGGGCTCCTCCTGACCCCCATCTCAGCCATCGGGCAGGGACCCTCTACACTACAGAAGGGCCAGGGAGCCCTCTCCTCCTAGTGCCTTCCACCCTGTACTCCAGAGCAGCTTGGCCCAGGAGGGGAGTTGCTGCTTAGCTGATCCCACCAAACCCGAGGAAGCCTCTATTTATTTATTAGCTTTTGTTTACACCCTGGAATGACCCCTTCCTCTAGGGGTTTTGGGAGGGGGACCCCAGGACCTCTGTGACTCCTCCCTTTTTCCTCCAATCCCTCAGTTTGTATTTAGCTGCCAAATAAGATTCCGCTGGCTCCCCTTTTTCTCTGGGGGGTCAGGGTGCTGTCCCCGCCCCTCTGTTTACATCTCCCCTCCATCTGTATCGCGTCTGCATATTGCTGAGTTTTCTATTTTTGCAAAATAAAGTGATGGAAACTCATGGGTCTGTGACTCCCTGTAGGTGCAGTAGGGGAAGTGGTAGTAGTGAGGGAAGTGGCCAGCTGACCTGGGCAGGGGCCTGGGTGAGGGGCGGAGCTAATCTGCCAGGCTTTGCAGCTTGCTTAGGGGAGTAAGAAAGGAGGATGAAGAGTGCTTGATGGGGTGTGGAGAGAAGAAAGGGAGCCCAAGGGGCGTCCATGAGTACCTGGGCTGCCCCCATCCCCCAGGGGTGGTGTTGGGACCACTGGGCCTGGTGCTGTGTGCATGGGCATGTCTGCCTCTCTCACCCTCAGCTGTCCCATTCTGCAACACCCTAGTACCTTACAGCTTGCTGCCTCCACCCCTCTCATCTCCACTCACTCCCAGGGACACATAGTGACTTCCAAGCACCTCTCCTCACCTCTGCAATGTCCTTGACAAGGCCCTTGACCTCCGCCATGTCCTCTCCTGCCTTCCACTTGCCCTCCGGGATTCCCTCTACTGCTCTCCATCCTGCCCAATTCTTTAGGACAGTGTTTTGCCTACACTGTCCCTGGATTGTTGGCCTTTTTTCTTTTTTTTTTTTAGAAGTTCTCTATAGTTCAGGCTGGCCTTGAGCTAACCATGTAGTTCACTCTGGCCTTGAGCTTACCATGTAGTTCAGGCCAGCCTCAAACTCTGTGCAGTCTCTCTGCCTCGGCCTCCTGAGTGCTGGGCCTATAGGTGTGAGCCACTATTCCCTAGTGCACACCTGGATGCCCAGCACCTACAGGCTTTCTTCACTGGTGAACTCATATGGGAAAGAGGCTGAGAATGTAGGATAGGAGAGAAGAGTGAAGGAAAGCAGAAGAAAAAGTGAAAGAAGATTAAGAGGAAACCACAGGGCCTATGGGGAAAGAGGGTCATTGCTACGGTAACGACCCCCAGTTGTGGGGGAAGGGGAAAGGTCCTGGGTGTTCCTTAGTCTGGGCAGCTGGCTAGAGAAGGACTCTCCTCCCAACAGGTAAGCTTCTGGGATCCACTGGCACATACTGAGCACCTGCTGTGAGAAGGGCACTTCACTGTGTGCTGTGGCTACAACAGGGAGCCTTGTGGCTGATTTTTGCCCCTGGAGTGCCTCCGGTAGGGGAGACAGCTCTGTGAGCACAGATTTGTGTCCAGATCCCTCTCAAGCTCCGGGTGGCCAGCCATGGTCCACACCAATCCCATACATATTTTCTACAACCTGTTCTTCCAGGTTCTCCTGCCTCGGCTTCGGTAACTTCCTGCACACAACTCCTTTCTCCTCCACCTTCCTCAGGCTCTACGACTCATTCCTTGGTCCCCACGTCACATTCTCCAGCCCGGCCCTGTGCCCCTCTTCAACTTTCCAGGTGTGTGGACCTTAGGTTTCCCCCAGCCTCACCTCTTCTCGCCCTCCACTTCTCACTCCTTCTAATTCACTTACAGAGAGAGACCAGTTCCTGCCCAGTATTCTTGTGAGACCAGAAATGCATCATCTCACTTGATTCTCACCACAGCAGCCACAAGAAAGATTAAAGAACGTTGCTAAAGGCTTTACTGCTTACTTGTAAAAGAGCTGGGCTAGAGTTTGGGCATTTGGGCTCCAGAGATTGGTATAGTAAAGTACACAGATACCATCAGTGGTCCCTATATTTTCTTTCCTCTTTCTTTCTTTCTTTCTTTCTTTCTTTCTTTCTTTCTTTCTTTCTTTCTTTCTTTCTTTCTTTCTTTCTTTTTTTGAACCGGGGATTGAACTCAGGCCCTTGCACTTGCCAGGCAAGCACTTATTCTACTGAGCTATCTCCCTGGCCCCCTCTATATTTTCAAAATGAACAATAATCTCTAACTTCCCCTCTCCCCAGTATTTGCTGCCTCCATATGGCTTCCTACTCTGGCCTTTCCAGTATGGGGAAGTGGGAGATTATCAAGTGAGGCAGACTTGCACACAAATCCAAGGCCACCCGCTTGCTAGCTGCGGAACCCTGGGAAAAATTATTTATTCCCTGCATCCAGGCCTCGATCTCTGCATCTCTAAATTCGGGCTGGGGAGAGGGCCTAACACATATCTGCTGAGGTTCTGTGACCACTAACAGTAGCATGGTGGTGCTCACATGGCAAGGCCTCAGGAGATGAGCAGACTGTTTCCAGGTCAGGTCCCTAGGTCATCCACTCTCAGCGGCTCAGCCTCTCCCCTATCTGCTCCACCTTCTCTTAGATCAGCCACCCCCCAAAATCCGCCCCACCAGGGTGTGTCACTTCCTCCTCTGTAGCCTCCAGATCAGTGCACAAAGGCTGTGGCTGCCACCAAAGGAAGGGCTGCTCTGAGCACACCTGTGAGTACTAGGGCCCTGGGCCCTCCTGTCTCCTCTCCTTTCAAGCTCAGCCATCTGCTCCCAAGTGGCTGGCGGAGCCTGAGAAAAGCTCTGACTTTGCTGCATCTCTAGGATGCCCTGTTCCTGCTCCCTCCTCTGGCGTCACAGACCTCCCTCTTTCATCAATTTCCCAACAGAGGACTTCCAGGGAGGGGAAGAAGAAGAGGTTGTACAGGGCTAACCTTGGTGCCTGCCATGTGCCAAAGTTATGCCAAAGTAGTTTTCTCCTACAACCCCAGCTGCCATTCCTGCTGCCAAGGCTTTGTTCTCAGCCCAAGGTTGTTCCCAGACAGTGCCTTGGCCACAGAACTCACACTCCCAGTGGCAGTTCTGTTCCCCGCTTGTGACTCTGAGTGGACACCAGAGGGGCTTTCACTCGGCATGGAAGCTGTAGTTGACTTGGGAAGGGGCTCTGTTTCTCGGCCCCTGAGAGGTATCGATCACAGTGGGGCATCCAGGGTGGCCTGGTTCTCCAAGAGTGAGTGACAGTTTTATCTCCAGGGTTGTTTTCTCCAAAAAGGACAGGTGCTTTTATCCTTTAAACAAAGACTAGCCAAGTGAGGCAAAGAGTTTCTGAGTGAATTGGTTTATTGCAATGTATAGAAAAGCAGGATAAGCAAAAGTAAGTAAAAGGGATATATGAAAATATAGGCAAAAGTAGGTAGAAAATCACTCCAGCACAGTGTTAATAACAAACTAAACACTCTGCATCCATAGAGGACATTTTCTGAATGGTCTAGGTGGCACTTTGGCTGGAATGCCATCAGGCCAACAACTGCAAAGTTAAGACACTACGCTCTTGGGCAATGTGTCCACCAGCTGTACAGAGTATGTATCTGCAAAGAGCAGGTCATAGCAAGATAGGTTTCAGGTGGCTGTCTGAAGACCCTGGTATTAATAGTTCCAGAGGAAGTGTTAGCACAGCTTCCAGATATCAATTTTTCCAGCGCAAGGTCCTGGACACCACTCTCTTGTTTACTTACTGGCTCACAGTTGTCAGCGTAGCTCTGGGTCAGCCAGCTGTTCAGGGTAACTATCAGCCAGCACCAGGTGGGTTACAGCTTGTGTTACAAAAGAAAGCTCAAAATGGAGTTTGTGTTGTCAAAGGATAGTTATGTAGTCATTAAAATGTCAATGCAGGGGGCCGGGGAGATGGCTCAGTAGAATAAGCGCTTCCCCGGCAAGCGCAAGGGCCTGAGTTCAATCCCTGGTTCTGCCAAAAAAAAAAAAGTCAATTCATGGACCAGGGTATAGCTTTGTGATAGAACATGGCCTAGTGTGCATGAGGCTCTTGGGTTAATGCCTGGCCCCAGAAAGTTAGTTTTACTTCGAGTCAAAAGAGTTATAGCAAAGCAAAACACAGGGGGCAATGAGGTATACATTACAGGCACAATTGAGCCTTTTGTGTGTGTGTGTGTGGAACCGGGGATTGAACTCAGGCCTTTGTGCTTGCCAGGCAAACACTTATTCTACTGAGCTATCTCCCTGGCCCCCAGAATTGAGTCTTGGGGAGAGGAGAGACTGAAGACCCCCAAGGAAAGAGAACCAGGATTCGGTGGGTCCACTGGGGTGAGTGGGGAGAAGACAACCCATGCAGGTGCTGGTGCTGGAGAGGAGCAAAGCAGCAGATGTACCCAAAGGCTTGACTTGTTTCAATCCCTGATCTACTTCCTGTTCACTGTTTGAGTTTGGCTCACACTTGGGGACTTAAGTTTCTTTCTTTTTTTTTTTTTTTTTTTTTGTGGAACCGGGGATTGAACTCAGATCCCTGCATTTGCCAGTCAAGTGCTTATCCTACTGAGCCATCTCCCCGGCCCCTTAAGTTTCTTTCTGCAAAAGGAGGGCGTTGAAATAGATTTTCATTCTATAGTTAGGATCGGACAGGAAAAGGAAGTAAAATAAAGAACTGTGAAGAAGTAGAGAAGAGAAAAGCTACAGAGAAATGTAATAATTTTTTTTTTTTTGATCTTTCTCTCCTACTTTAGTTTACTTTTTTTTTTTTTTTTTTTTTTTTGAGACAGGGTCTCCCTATGTAATTCAGGCTAGCTTTGAACTAATCAGCCCAGGCTGGACTTGTGGAGGTCCTCCTGCCTCAAGCATGTGAGTGCTAGGATTACAGGCATGCATTATCACACCCAGTTAGAATTTTTGAATAGGAAGGAGAAAGAAGAAAGAGGGAGGAAGAATTGAGAGCAGAGAGGTAGAGGGTTAGGGGACAGAGATCCTCAAGTCCAGGGCCTCCTGTCAGGGAGATGAGTGGGCTGGAGGTCTCTGGGTTTGCTCTGTCCTGAGAATCTCTGTGGCAGGGGGCCGCACCTGTGAGATGAGTCAAAGCTGGCCTTTGTGCAGTAGCATCTCCAGCTTCCCTGCCCACAGCACGCACAGCTAGCAGGGTTGAGGTTACACTGGGCTGGCTTCTCCCCAAGGGTGGAGCTCAGTACCCAACGGCCTGAGGTCAGGGAGGTGGACACCCCACCCCTTCCCCACACAGCATCTGGACCTGAACCTGGGCCCAGGCTGGGGAGGAGACGGCGACTTCCAGGCAAGGTGTTAGTGTCCCTTCCCAAGGGCAGCTGACTGGCATGGATAGCTATGACCCCTGAGGGAGCACACAATGAGATGCTATCTCATGATCTTGCATATCCTCCTCTGGGGATTTATCTTATAAAGTCACTTGTATACACATGAACTGATAAGCCTGCTATTTTTCTTGAAACTTTTTTTTTTTTTAAAGACAAGGTCTAACTAAGCAATTCAGGCTAACTTTGTACACACTTTGTAGACTAGGCTGGCCTCAAACTTGTAGCAATCCTCCTGCCTCAGCCTCATATGTGCTGGGATTACAGGTGTGCATCACACCCCAGCTCCCATTTTTAGTTCACTTTATCTTGAGACAGGCTCTCACTAAATTGCTAATGTTTATTTATTTATTTATTTTTTGTATTTTAGGGAAGGGTCTACAGATTGTTCAAGGTCTCATTACTAGATCTGACTCATAGTGATCTGCCTGTTTACAGTCTCCCAAGAGCTGGGATTACAGGCATGTGCCACCACACCCAGTCTCAATTGCCCTCTCAGGGCACGGGGTGGGGGGCGGGGATTGAACCCCTGGCCCCTGCCTTGCTTGCAGGCACTTTACTCCACTGAGCTATTTGGCTGGTCCTAAATTGCTGAAGCTGAGCTCAAATTTGCCAGCCTCCTGTCTCAGCCTCCAAGAATGATGGGGGTCTAGGTGTGTGCCACCATTTTTAGCTAAGGACAGTTTCTTTTAGAAGTAGTTTAAAGAGTTTGAACTTAAAATACTTAAAATGCTAAATGTATTTTACCATTAAAAATTTAAAAGTTATATAAGATAGTAAGAAATACACATCCCATGCCTCATACAATCTAGGATAGGTTTTTATACCTATCCTAGAATATTATCTTTGTTTCTTTAATCTTTCTAGAGATTGTTTTTGCAGATATTAATATGAACATCTGTACTTTTTTTTATGTCAGGGATTGAACTCAGGACCTTGTACTTGTCAGGTTGGCGCTTAAGCCACTGAGCCATTTCCCCAACTCTGTACTTTTCAAATGATCAAATCAAGTGGTACAGGGCTGTGGAGATGGCTCATTAGAATAAGCACTTCCCTGGCAAGCACAAGAGCCTGAGTTCAATCCTCAGTTCTGAAAAAAAAAAAAAAAAAAAAAAATCATCAAGTGTTACAGTTGATTCTACAAATGGTAAAATGGGCCAGTGAGATAGCTCAGCAGACTAAGTGCCTATTTAGGCAAGTGCAGGGACCTACATTTGATATACCACATGCTGCACCGACCCCCAGGCACACTGAGCCCGCCTCCGAGTCCAGGTGTGGTGGCACTCCCCTAAATGGGGAGGCTGAAAACAGGAGGTTCACTAAGAGTCTAAGCTGAGCTGCATAGTGAGACCCTGTACCAAATACATTTTTACATTAAAAAAATTACAAATGGTAAAATAAACACAACTTTGCCCTTTGTTTTCCTTTCACTACTTTTCTTAGAGAGTTTTCCATCTGCAAAAATAATTTCCCTTTTTATCTTCACACCCATACAGATTTCAACTGTTACTCATTTACCATGAATTTGAAGCCACCATGGACTATATAGTGAGTTCAAGGCCAGCCTACACAGTGAGACCCTGTGTCAACAAAATAAAACAAAGGAAAGAGTTGAGGATATATCTCAGTGTGAAGGTCCTGGCTTCGGTGCTCAGTATTGCCAAAAGAATACTCTCTCCTCCAAGTGGTTCCTTGGTAACTGCTAATCTACTCTATAGATATTCCTAGTTTGGATTTTTTTTTCCTAGTTTGGGTATTTTTGTGTAAATGAGACAATACAAAATGGGGTCTTTTATGACTGGCTTCATTCACTTAGCATACTATTTCAATACTCATTAGTGTTGTAGTACTCATCAATACTTCTTTGCCTCTTATGGCTAAATAATATTCCAACCAATGGATGTACTGTACCTCATTTATCCATTTTTCAACTGATTGATAACATTTTTTTTCCTACCTGATGGCTATTCTGTGTAGTGTGACCAGGAACATTCAAGCACACATTTTTGTTTGAATACCTCTCTTCTTCCTTCCTTTCTTTTTTCCTTCCTTTTTTTTTTTTTTTTATACATTTATTTATTTGTGTGTGTGTGGCCAGCACACCCCACCAGGGGGCGGGGCTGGCTGGCATGTGGTGCTGGGGGATTGAACCGCGGTCCCTGTGTTTTGCCAAGCTTGTTCCAAGTAGGTGCTTTAGACCACTGAGCCATCTCACCAGCCCTCTTTTTTTCCTTCTTTCTTTCTTTCTTTCTTTCTTTCTTTCTTTCTTTCTTTCTTTTTTTTTTTTGAGATAGGGTCTCACTATGTAGTTCAAGCTGGCCTTAAACTCTTGTCAATCCTCCATGTCTCTCTGTCTCTGTCTCTGTCTCTGTCT